GCAAACCCCAAAAAAAAAAAAAAAAAAAAGAAAAAGAGAGAAATGTCAGTTTTGAGAAATGATGTCCAGATTGGCAATGTGTCTCATGGTGGGCCTTCCGTGGGGACAGTTCCAGGGACGGTCCATCTCCCCCATGTGGGTGATGAGTTTCTTCATCTCACTTGTGTTAAGAGCAGTCCCAATCATCACCTGCATGTGAGACATGACGGCTTACATTAAAGTTTTACTGGTTTTTGGTTAGAAAAGCAACTCTTCAGAAGCCCTGTTCTCTATAAAGAGGCTGGACAAGATTACAACAAAAGCAACAATTCCCTGAAAAGTCCTCCCCCGAAGAACCCTACCCTCTAGTATCTCAGCCCTCAGCCTCTTTGTGACATCCAGCCCCTCCGTGGCTCTGTCATGGCAGCACATCCTCAGGAGAGACGCCGACCACTCCCGTCCAGGACCAACCAGTCTCACCAGCTCCACCGCCATCCACATCCCAGCCGCCCCAACCCCCCACCACGGTGACTGCAGCGGCCTCCTGACGGGCCTCCCCACTTTCCTCCTTCTCCCTTCAACTCGTCCTCCACTTGCGGCCAGCGATTCCTTTTAAAGGCGTGTCAGATCACGTGGCTCCTCTTCGAAGCCCTGCCCCCCCACCTGGATAAAAGCCCAAGTGCATCACCTGACTTGGCCCTCACTGGCCTTAGTGCCCACACCTGTGAGCAAGCAGCCCTTCCGCCCCCACTGCAGCCACACCGGCACCCCCTTGCCTCTAGTACAAGTCCATAAAGCGAGTACCTGCCTCAGGACGTTGTCACTGGCTGTGCCCTCTACCCAGGATACGCTTCCCTCAGATATCTACATCTCTCATGCTCCCTCTCCCGCAGGCTGCTGCTCAAATGTCCCTGCCTCCCTGCAATGGAACAGCTCTCCTTGTCTGTCCTCTGTAGCCCTCGGGCTGTGCCTGAGCACCCGGGAGAGCCTACTTCAATTGGGTGCTCAGGGAGGCCCGAGGATGGGAGGGGCCAGGTGGGCGAAGGCGTGTGGAGCGGGGCATCCAGGCAGAGGGACAGCGGGCGAGGACTCGAGGCGGGAAGGAGATGGTGTGGCAGGCATGGCTAGAGCCGAGCATAGCACACGGGGCCCACGGGTGCAGCAGAGGACAGCCCGCCCCCGTCAGCCCGTGTGCTGCACAGAGACAGCGTTGCAGCGCCAGGGACCCGCCAGCATGGGGACTGAGGAGCGGCCCATGGCCCCAAAGATCTCTGCGTCACACAAGGACACGGCATTGTGAACACCCGGCCATCAGCACAGGCCAGGCCCAGCTCTGACTCCTACCCCTGACTCCAGGATGGGGAGATCAAGGTTAGGCCTTTATCAAAGAACCATCTGTGGCTGAAGTCAGGTCCGGGGCCCTATTCTCTCATCAAACTCTTGCCTGGAGGAATTTCATCCAACGCCATGGCCGTAACTTAGAAAACCTAAACCTTTCTCTCCAGCACTGACACTTCCCCTGGCTCTGGATTCACTGACGTGACTGTTCTCAGACACGTCTAATAGGATCTCAAATACAACGTGTCTAGCAGAGAATGCTGAACCCCACCGCCCCCAAAGGTGAAAATGCCACAGCCCTTGCCCCACCTCCCTCATTTCCGTTGTGACACCCTCTCTGCGGTCTCTTTCCCGTGGTCACCCTCCAGCACCTCCTGACACGTGCAGCGCAGACGCCCAGGTTAGGACCAGGATCCCAAGGACCCTAAGTGGGTCCCCGGACGGGGCCCCACTCCCATCCCCCCACCCGTCACACGGGGTCAGCCTCTGGCTTCGCCAAACACCCCGAACCTTTGCACTTGCTATTTCTTCTATCTGGAAAGTTCTTTCCCAAGAGGCTCCAGCTCACCTTCCAAGCGTCAGCTGGGAGGTCACCTCAGCCAGCCTCACCGCAACCACCCGCCTCGCTTCCTGGTGCTCACTCCCCACCCCCATACTGTTTTCTTTACCGAACTTGTATCTGAGGCTGCCGTTATTAATGTTATGTCCCTTTCCCCCACTAAACTATAAGCTCCACAAGGGCAAGGACCTCATCTGCCGACCTGTGCCCCCAGCACCCGGACCAGGGCCGGCCACCCAGCGGGGGTTCAAGGGGTCTCTGCTGAGTGAATGAAGGGGTGGGCCAGGTGATGCAAACACACGTGCTCTGCTCTGACATCAGGCTCATCACCTACCACTGCTATCATTTTCTAGAACCAGTCCGAGCAGTGGCAGCCAGACAATACGCAGTGCCCGCCCTTGGGGCTCCTGTGAAAAGCGAGCCGACTGCAGGGTTCTGGATAATCTCGTGCAGGGCCCTTGAGGGCTGGCAGCACCTAATCTTTACCCACCAGTGTCATTAATGCCCATAAGGTCCACAGACGAACAACGTGGATACCCAGCTAACTGCATGGGAGTGATGAACGCTCTGAGGACACTGCTTCAGGGATGCTGAGAAACAGCAGTAATTATGGGTCAGAGTTCTGACCTAAGGCAGACGTGCAGGGCTTACGTGTTACAATGGCTGAGGACAATGGGACTCTACGTATACAGCCCAGAGCGACCATCACCCGCATTTAATAAGGCTGACAAGTCAGGAGCTGAACTGAGAACTTCCAAGGCCCATGAGCTGGAGCAGACCCGCCAGGTTCCTGCAAATAAGCTTTCTTTACTTACAGACTTCCGACAGGCCCTGGAGGCAAACATCTGCCTGACCCGGGAAGGCCGGCACATGACACCGGGGCTGTCGCTCAGCATGAAGATCAGTTCATCTATGTCCTGGGGTCCAAAGGTCCAGCTTTTACTAGTTGGCAAGGAAATCAATTTAGCTCTTTCAGTGACCGGCGCTAAAAGAAGAAAATTTGGAGAAAAAGCAGTCATTTGAAAAATCCATTTCATTTGGGTGCTATTTGTAAGGAACATCTGAAAAAGAGAGCAGAAGCAAAACTTTTGGGGGGAAGCATGTTCATCTCTTATAAAATACGCTGAAGTGTATGACCTCAAAGATAGTTCTCGGGCTTCCCTGGTGGTGCAGTGGTTAAGAATCCGCCTGCCAATTCATGGGACACTGGTTCGAGCCCTGGTCCGGGAAGATCCCACATGCCGCGGAACAGCTAAGCCTGTGCGCCACAACTACTGAGCCTGCGCTCTAGAGCCCGAGAGTTACAACTACTGAAGCCCACACACCTGGAGCCCGTGCTCCGCAACAAGAGAAGCCACCGCAATGAGAAGCCCGCGCGCCGCAACTGGAGAAAGCCCGCATGCAGCAACGAAGACCCAACACAGCCAAAAATAAATAAATAAGGTAAATAAATTTATCAAAAAAAAAAAAAAGATCGTTCTCAGCTCTAAAAGGACACAGTTCTACAGTCCTAAGTAATAACTTACCGTCTTCATCGATAACAAAGTCAAAGCCATTCTTTCTGAATATTTCCAGATTTTCTATTAGAATTGCTTCATTGACAGCCGTTAAATTGAGAGTCTGAGGTCTGAAAAACAGAGACCCAAACTAGACCTTGAAGTCAAACATTTGGCTCTAAAGCAGAAATGAAACTAAAACAACAATTCTGCGATTCTTTGAATTCATTTCAAAAAGCAACACAAATAACATGCTTCCAGCTATGAGCCTCTCCTGTCACAAAACTCTGAGCATTTCCTTTTAATTTTTTTTTAAGTTCTTTTTAGAAGTTAGAGTTAACTCCAAAAGTACTCTGCCTTTCCTCAATCTGCCATACCACCCCAATGACTGTCTTTTTTTTAATTCTCTTCTCCAAGATAACGATATGACCTAAAAATGCTATTTTTCCTCCTCACAATAAAGACAATTTGAAAAGTTGGGTTCGATCACTACAGACATTTGAAAACAGAAGAAACAGCATCTGTTTTGCTATCCTGCTCCTTCTGCTTGCATTCTTTTTTTTTAAAGATTTTTTTTTTTTTGATGTGGACCATTTTTAAAGTCTTTATTGAATTTGTTACAATACTGCTTTTGTTGTATGTTTTGGTTTTTTGGCCCCAAGGCATGTGGGATCTTAGCTGCAGGGATTGAGCCCACACTCCCTGCACTGGAAGGCGAAGTCTTGACCACTAGACTGCCAGGGAAGTCCCCCCTGCCTGCATTCTTTATTCATCCATCTCTCCTCTTGGATTTACTGAGTGCTTAGTAAGACAGACACTGCTAAAGGCAGGAGATACAAAGGTGAGCAAACACAGACCCGTTCTCGTTCTCTGCTCTCATGAAACAAACAGTGTAGTGGGGAAAAAAAGACATTGATCAAACAGTCAAACAAACAAATTGTAATTATAAACTACACTGAGAATCAGGAAGAAGAGATACCCAGGGCCATAGGAGCAAAGAGCATGTGAGACTTGGCCTGGAGAGAGAGGGCGTCAGGGAAGGCTTCTCTGAGGAAGTGACCTTTGAGCTGAGATCTGGGGCTGAGTGGCAATTATCAGGTGATGGGGGTGAGGGGTGGGTGCAGGGGCAAGTATTCTAGGCAGAGACAACAGTCTGTAAAAAGGCCCTAGGATGGACCACGGATGTTCCCAGGGCCACACACAAAGATCTGCTTCATTCTGCTTAATGGCTCTGTAGGAATTCATCAGGCCTGTCAAGGGAAAAGGAAGGATGGCCAGAGTATAGAGAACGGGAGAAGAGGGCGTAGGAACAGCTGAAGAGGTCATCAGGGCCGAACTATGCAGGGCCAGTAGGAAAGGATGCAGTCGTGGTCTTTATCCTTTCATCCTGAAGTGTGATCCACGTGGGACCCACAGTGGCCTGTGATTATCCAGGTCAACTTGAAATGCCACAAATGAGACCGTACTTACACCAAATGGCTAAAAAATAAACGACCTCTGTAACAGGGGCAGGAATAGCTCAGTATTATACAGTGGTTCATTCAATGTCTTTACTATTACTACTTACTCCTACTGAAAATAAATATAATTAAGCCATTCTGCAGGACACAGGGTACTCAGCAAATAAACTAGGTATGTTTTCCAGCTGAGCGGCTGTTTTAGTGGTAACTTCATGCTGGGATCTGCTGCCGTCGGGATCTGAGTTAATTACGTAGTTTAATTTCCCAAATGAAAATCCAAGACCTCTCCTTCTGACTTCGCTTAAGAAAAGACTTCTGGTTTACATGCTACACCATCACACCGCCTTGTAAAATGGTCAGCGTAAAACATTCAATTTGGCAAAAGAGAGATAAATACCAAATTCTGCAGTGACTAATCACTGGTATCGCTCTACCATAGCTGAGGACAGACACACAGGCACTGCTGACCTTCTGAACGCGTGAATTCCATGTACTCTAAGTAGATATACTCTGTACTATAAATTGCTCTTCATCAAAAGGATTTTCTGGCCAACCAGTGATGAGCATTTTTGAACAGCTCAAAAGAACTTTAAGTATCTTTTGATACTGAAAGAATCCATTAGCTGTGTGGCCTTGGGCAAGTTATTAAACGTCTCTCAGTTTTATCACCTGTGAGATGTTGGTGGTAATACACAGTAACTACTTCAAACGTTTGTGAGGATTAAATATAAATTGCTTCAACAGCACCTGCCACCAAATAAGCACTCCCTAAATGGCAGGTTTGACTATTATTACGCAAAAAGTATAAAAATCTGCTGTAAGGATACGTAGAGCCAAAAAATACAGATAGATAGATAGATAGGTATAGATAGGTTTAGACAGAGATAAAGATAGACACACTTATAGCTAAGAGATCTTAAATTTGGGGGATGAAACAACACTGGAAATTCTGAACACTGAAATGAACTTACGCTATAAGCCTTTGACCCTGGAGAACAGTGTGCTGCTGAAGCATCTCGAAGTTGTATTTCTCATCCGTGGCATGCTGGTCCACTATGAAGATATCTGCATTCAGTTTGGTGATGATAAATCCCAAGTTAAACTGACCAATGATTTCCATTTCTGCAAACATCGTTTTGCTGCATGTAGAAAATGTTAATTAGAAGACATTTTAATTTCTTTTTTTGTCTGCGCTGCACGGCTTGTGGGGTCTTAGTTCCCTAACCAGGGATTGAACCTGCACCCTTGGCAATGAAAGCACGGAGTCCTAACCGCTGGGCTGCCAGGGAATTCCCATTTTAGAAGACATTTTAAAAGATTGCTTATAAAACACTAATAAAAAAGTACAAAAACATAAAATAGACAAAGTCCCTAAAAATCCCACTTTCTAAGGATAACATTATTCATTCCTCCAACTCTCCAGGTGACATTAGTTACTACTATTAATGACTTGGTCCATATCCTTCCAGACCTTTGACTATACACTGTTTAAAAAAAAAAAAACAAAAATGGGGCTTCCCTGGTGGCGCAGTGGTTGAGAGTCCACCTGCAGATGCAGGGGACACGGGTTCGTGCCCCGGTCCGGGAAGATCCCACATGCCGCGGAGAGGCTGGGCCCGTGAGCCATGGCCGCTGAGCCTGCGCGTCCGGAGCCTGTGCTCTGCAACGGGAGAGGCCACAACAGTGAGAGGCCCACGTACCGCAAAAAAACAAAACAAAAAATGGAATCAATTCTTCATACCGTTTCACTCTCATCACTTAACAATGAATCTCAAATATTTTTTCAGACCCATAGAGACCTACTTCATTCTTTTTAATGTCCATGTAGGAATTCATTATGTGGACGTACCAATTTGTCTGACAAATTCTCTACTAAAGGACACTTCAGTTGTATCCATTTTAAGAAACACAAACAAAGGCGCAACATCCCTCTACACAGATCTTCTCTACTGTGCATGTATCTGTATGATAAATCCCTAGATGTGTTATTATATATGTACACTTTACTTTGATAGGAGATCTATAAAAGTTTACACTCCCACCAATATGTACAGTTGTCCCTGGGTATATGCAGGTGATTGGTTCCAGGACCCCCAGGATACAAAAATGCACAGATGCTCACGTCCCTTACATAAAATGGCACAGTACTTGCATATAACCTATGCACATCCTTCCCATATACTTTAAATCATCTCTAGATTACTCATAATACCTACTACAATGTCAATGCTATGTAAAATAGTTGCCAGCACGCAGCAAATTCAAGTTTTGCTTTTTGGAACTTTCTGGAATTTTTAAAAATTTTCGATCTGCAGTTGCAGAACCGGCAGATACGGAGGGCTACCTGTATACGAGTACCTTTTTGTCAGTAGTGGATATCGATCCTTCTGATGGGGAGCACCCCCCACCCCCTGCCCACCCCAGGCAGAGCTTCAGACTTTGTTGGAACAGGCGTGGCTGCATTTCATTCATTTATGAATGAAAATAAGTTGGTTGGAGTAGCAGAGTGAGCACTGCTGGGCCTCCTGCCTGCTGCCAGTGGCTGCCTTGTAGGAGGAAAAGACAAGGGCATCACAGGAGCAAAAGAGAAGCCGCGGCTCCTGCTGTCTTGCAGTGTCCCTCCAGCGCCCCCTGCTGATCAAGTCTAACAGTGCACCAGGAGAAACGCTTACATGGTTCAGCCTCCAGGACTGCAAAGCAGGGCAGAGTGGATTTGGAACTGAGAGGCAATAAACTGGTAATTGGCACAAATACCAACTCCCTGGCTCTGGTTGCTCTTCCAGGAACCGCCTGAGTCTGCTCCGGTTCCCCAGGCAGATTGCCCATGGGAAGAACCTGTGCCGGCCTGAAGACCCAGGTCTTCTGTGTCTTCGGCAGGTGTATCTCCCACCATAAACTAAAACCTAGCATCTGGCTTAAAGAAACAAAGTTTTACAGCTTGGTATGTTTAGTTATAATTCAAAATGCAGAAACAGGAGCTGGTAAACACAACCTCAGTATCTTCACTGCTGCTCAATACTTTTTCCTGTGCTTCTCAGGAAAAAGTCAACCTCGTCAGACCAATAGCTCAGAAGTACAGCCAATCCAACAGCTGTGCCCTGAAAGCCAGAAGCCAATGCCAGGCCCTTGTGCATCAGCTTCTCAATGTGACCTTCTGGGGTACTTGTCAAAAATGCGGATTCCTGGGCTCCACACCCAAGATCCACCAGATCTAAGGCAGAAACACTGGAATCTGGCCATACATAGGTCCTGCTTGTTTAACAAGCTCTCCAAGTGAATCTCAGGCATACCAACGTTCAAAAACCATGGTAACAGGTGATCAATACATGTTTGCAAACTTAATTAAAACCTCTATTTAAAAATATTTAAGGAACCTGGCTCTCTTCACTGGCTCCCTCTGAGTTCACAACCAGAGAGGTTCGTTTCCATTAATTACACACCTTTTAAAGAAATAAACGTTCCCGAAAACCCTTCTCCCTGTAAGCTAGGCACTATGAATAACAAAGAAATTATATAATACTCGGTGAAGAATTTACAACTGAAATTAGGCAAAGCCTGTGTGGTCCAGGCTAAAAGTACTATAAAAATGCAACGTACTTGCTGAGTTGCACTGTGCACAGGACACAGCACATTTCAGTAACTGGTGACACAAAACAAAGACAAAATTTTAAAAATAAAAACTATTTCAAAAGAATTCAACATTTTTAAGAGTCACAATGTTGGGCATGACTACTGTCAAGAAAGTGCTGGTGACCAGTGTTTGCTATTATCTGTATTGTGAAGATTTTTCTTTAAATTGACTTTTTTACTTAGCCTTATCTGATGCAATCTTCTTGAAATCATAGCTTTGATAATGTGATAATTTTTCCTCATACATGTTAAAATGCAAAGATGGGAAATAGCAATGTTCCCCAAAGCTGCCCTGAATTCAATGCAGGGAGAAGTCACCACGGGCTGAAAACCTCCAGGAAAAGGAATAAAATTGAGGTCAAGAAGGCCTTGATTGATTTGGACCCGATGGAAAAGATGTGCAGAGAAAATCTAAGAAAAAAAATTCCTGTAAGATTTCAGGCTGCAGAACTGCCTGGTGAAAGAGTTCTTTAAAGAAAATTAATGTGATGGATGTGAGAGGCAAGGAAAAGGAGCTGGTGAGTGGAAAAAGCGTTACCTTATCTCTTTTCTTAGTTCATCTTCTGCTGCTTGATTTTCTCCAGGGCAAATCTTTGCCCGAAACTTCCTATAATTTTGTCCACCTTCTTGTTGCTGTTCTTGCTGACATAACTGCTTTATTCGTTTGGCTAAAGAGCTCATAGAAAAGTCAAGGGGCACTATTTTCTTGTTAATTTCAACAGCTACATCCACCTCGCACGCTGAAGCGTTCTGAGTTTTCATGGACTCTGGAAGGACATCGGGATTTAAAGGAACCCCTTCTTTTTTAAAACGCTTTGCGTTTGGGGATGAGAGATGAGTAGACTGCAGCAAAACTCGAGGTCGGGAGCCGCTTTCTTCGTGGTCTAAGTGGCAATTCGTGCCCAAAAGACGATGGTCAGTTTCAGGTAACTTCTCCAAAGACTCCACATTTTCTTGCGAAAACCCATCTTTGGGGGAGCTTGCCACATGGTCACTGCTGGGCTGGCTGCCCGTTTTTGGGGTGCTGGACCCCTCCTCAGAGCCGGCAGATGCGCTGCTGTGCCCCCAGCCCTCCTCCGTGTCCACTCTGCCCATCGGGTCACAGGGCCCCTGGGTGGAAGTCACCCCTTCCTCCCGAGGTTCAGAGATGTGATTCCAGGAGCAGAGGGGCCCTGAAGCGCTAGGAAATGGGGTGCTGCTTCTCTGTCGTGGAGAAATCCGTCTTGGGGCGGTGGCCTTCGGACCCCGAGACTTGTCCTCCACTGCGTGACGAAGGGAAAAGGCCTCTCTCAGTCTGGAAATGGTCGCTGCCCTTTTCTCTTCCCCGCGAGTCCTTAACGGGGCGGGATCATCCTGCTTTCCTGGCACGGGCTTCTCCACCTCTGCCGAATGCCTTTTTATTAAGTGACCTAAGCAGATGTGAACAGAGAAGGGCATCAGGCGCTGCGCGGAAATAGACTAAGGGGATACTTATACGTGAACAGGCACACTTCACAAAAGAGGAGCTCCGAATGGCTGATCCAATGTGTGAACACAGCTCTACATGAACCATAAAGGAGACATGAATTAAAACCACAATGTGATGCCACTATATACTCATCAGAACAGTTAAAATTTTGTTAAAAAATGTTTACAAGGCTGAGGATCAAATGGATGCTTCAATACTGCTGGTGGTGTTGAAATTGGTACAACTGCTTTGTAAAACTCTCTGAGAACATCTAATCTGAACATGCACACCTGTGACCCCACACTGCTATCCTACCAGAAATGTCTACCTGTGCTGGCCTAAACCATGGATGGGGATATTTTTGACAGCTATATTCATGGCAGCCCAATCCTGGAAACAACCCAGTTGTCCACAAATAAGTCGTGGTATTTAAATACAACAGAATACTATACAGCAACGAGAATGAATAAATGAATTGTCACACAGGACTTGGATGAATCTCACATACAAAATATTGAGAGAGAAACCAACGATGGAAAAATGTAAATACTGGACGCCTTCAAGTTAAAAACAGATAAAACGAATCCATGGTGTTAGACGTCAGGAAAAGAGTTCCCACTGGGGGTTAGTGTCTGAAAAGGGGTACAAGGGTGGTTCTGCGGGTGCTATTCCTGATCTCAGGGCTGATGCACTCACGACACATTTGCTTCTGTGTGGATGCTATACTTCGATGAAAGGGCTAAGAAGAGGACGTCGATTTGACTGTGCCTCAAGATGCAGAGATAAGTTGAGCAGTTTCTCTGTATGGGGTGGCCTCTCTGACCACACACGTGCGCACGCATGTGTGTGTGTGCGTGCGTGCACGTGTACACTCAGAGCTGCCACCTCCGGCCCATTCCACAAAGATGTGATGCTCCCTACCATCCTCCACCCCATCCCCCCCGCCCATGAGCGCGCATGCAGCCATACTATCCCATGCAGAGTGGGCGGCAGAGATGTGAGGTCAGTAACTCGGCCGCACTCATGGCAGTGGTCCTGTGCGCCTCTCCCACCACCCAACAGCCCCGCCCCACAATTAGCAGCTTGTGTCCCCACCATACTCTCCGACTGTCACAACTGCCGACCGTGACACTTGATGAGAGCGCACCTCACTATCTTCCAAATCAGCCTCTCCACCCCCCCACCCCCAGGGGTGTTAGGAAAAGTGAGGACAGAGCCACTCTGGGTCCCACGCCTCCTCTTAACCCCTGGCTTATGGCTCCTGGTACCCGCGGGTTACGAAGCCTCATCCCAGAACGACTTCCTCCCATTGTCACCTGAGCTTTCCACCAAACGTATTTTCAGCTTCCTGAGCTGCTCTCTGGTCTTTTCCCCCCGCCGGAGTACACAGTGATTGGGACCCGCCACCTCCGTCTCTACACAAACAGACGTGGAGCTCGGGGGCAGGTTAGCCTAGAGAAGGGTATCCACCCCAAGGAGCGGATCTAGCTGTCAGAAGGGGTAGCCAGCTCCTGCCTCTGCTACGGAAGGCTGCTGGGGCTCAGCTGTGGACTCCTCCCCACAAGGTGCCCCAGATGCACTTAGTTTGGATGCAAGAGAATAAAACCAACTATTTAAACGAAAGGCTGCTCATTCAGGACCAGGAAGTAAAACAATGATTGTGCATATTTTTACAGAGGTCAAACCAGCTTTGGGCCAAGTCTCATCTCAACATGCCACTCAGTGATTAATGCACAGGGGGGACGTGAGGGAAAACGGCAGAGTAAGGGCCCCCCCAAATTCCCTACTCCATAAAAGATAGGAGAAAACGGGTAAAAATGGTCAGAATCAACTTCTTCAGAGCTCTGGAAATTAACAAAAGGCTTGCCACGATCGGGGAGTGTTTTTGTTTGTTTGGTTTTTGGTTTTGGCCACGCCGCTTGCCTTGCAGAATCTCAGTTCCCCACGCAGGGATTGAACCCAGGCCCTGGCAGTTTAAGTGCTGAGTCCTAACCAGTGGACTGCCAGGGAATTCCAATGGGGGCGTGTTTATTGAAAGGAGAATGGGTGAGTCTTGGTAAGAATGTATCCCTGGGTGATAACGGAGGTGGCTTGCATCCGTTTTAATCCAGATTACCTTAAATCTGCAGCTACATACTTTCTAGGGTGACACGTCTTCTCTGACAGCCAGATCCACTACCCCCTCTGACAGCCAGATCCTCTCTGACAGCCAGATCCACTACCCCCTCTGACAGCCAGATCCACTTCTTGGGGCAGATACTCCTCTAGACCAGCCTGCCCCCTATCTCCATGTCTATTTGTGTACTGTGCAGAGATGGAGGTGGTAGGTACCCATCAAAATCTGACAGATTTTGTTTCATACCAAAAAAAACTTTGCCTCCGAAAGAATAAGGAAAGTATCACAACAGCTACAAGTTTTAGAAGCTGTTTATACACGTGTGTTTTTCTTACCTTCGACGTCAAACAGCGGCTGCTGACTGACGTTGAGTTTGTTAACATCACTATCGAACATTCCTATCAAAGACGTCTTTAAAACTGCCAACAAAAGCTTCTCCTCCTGTAGTAAAATTTGCCTTTTATCTGGAGTAACGTTGATGTCGACACATTCTAAAGCAAAACAGAAAAGATGCCAATTGTGTTTAAGTTCACGTTTAACAAGAGAGATTTCCCCATCGACTATTTTATTCACTTGCACTTGCCAAAAGCCATGTCCAGATTCATATTCATACTATAAAACTAGCCCTTTCAAATAAACAAGGAAAAGATGAATAATTTTTTAAACAGATGAAATATGCAAGCATTTGAGTAGGTAAATTGCAAAAGAAAAAAAGCAAATAAACCCATGAAAAGGTACGATAAAATTGCAAACTAAAATGTCATTTTTATCATCTATTGAATCTGGTTAAAAATTATAATACCTAGTACATTGTTGGTAGGTGTGTAAATCGGTATAACAGGATCCCATTCACTGACCCAATGATTCTACTTCTAGAAATTTATCTTAAAGAAATAATCAAAAATATAGGTAATGATTTATCTGTAAGAACAGTATTTAAATTTCTAAAAACTGAAAACAACTAAAATAGGCACAAACATAAAAGTTTACAATCAAGATATATCCACACATTGAAATACAATACAGCGAATAAAATCATGTTTCTGAATAAACTTTAATGACATGGAAGAGAAAATGTTCACATCTAAGGATAAAGAGCACAAAATTACCCAAAATTATTTTCTCACTCCAAAAAATATGGATATATCATTATATATATATATTTTTAAGGTGTGCACATATATATTTCTAAGCACCTAAAAAAATATTGGATAACAATAAACCATAATATTAGCAATCAGAAGAAAAGTATCTACATGAAATGAGTTATTTTCAAAATCAGGGAGAACATTTAGTCTACTTTCTCCCTCGGCTGACATGAAAAAGTCACATTTTCCGAACAATACAATTAATGTAGTTTCAAGTAGAAAGCAGGAGATATATATTCTGTATAAAAAATAAAAGTCTAAAAAGATTTTTTTTAATTAAAAAAATTTTTTAAGTCTATAAAAATATATATCACCATTAATTGTTGCTATAAAAGTCTCTTTCTGGTCATATCAGAGCTTTATAATCTCATTTTATTCTTTTAGGAGTAAGTCACCAGGGACTTCCCTGGTGGCGCAGTGGTTAAGAATCCACCTGCCAATGCAGGGGACACGGTTCGATCCCTGGTCCGGGAAGATCCCACATGCCATGGAGCAACTAAGCCCATGTGCCACAACTACTGAGCCTGCGCTCTAGAGACCATGAGCCACAACTATGAGCTCGTGCGCCTAGAGCCCGTGCTCCTAGAGCCCGTGCTCCACAACAAGAGAAGCCACCACAGTGAGAAGCCCGCGCACCGCAACGAACTGCAGCCTTCGCTCGCCGCAACGAGAGAAAGCCCATGTGCAGCCTGAAAAAAAAAAAAAGGAGTAAGTCACCAATTTTACTGAAATGTCAGTGGAACTTACCCATATCAACAGAAATGTTAAGAACAACAAATGGATACTGATGCCGGTTATACATGTGATAGACCTCATTCACAAGTCTGGAAACCTATACAAAAAACAAAGATTAGAAAAGAATAAATGTTTCCTTCCCCCAGTTTCTAATAACATGCTACTCTAACCAACTGTTAAAAGGATACATTTGGAACAGCTTTCTTGAGGTATAATTGGCCTAAAACAAACTGCACTTAAAGTATACAATTTGATAAATTCTGACATATATAAACACCCACGAACCCATCCCCACAATTGAGATAATGAAGATATCCATCACCCAAAAAAAGTCTCCTCTTTCCCCTCAAAGGGGTATCTTTAATCATAGATTCATAAAACTGAATCTTTTTCCATACTCAAGATGCTCTTAAAGAAATGTCAATAAAATGAGGTGCGGTTTAAATGCTCATAAAACATTCAAATGTACACAGAAATGTATTTATATGACTTTATAATGAGATTATTAAATGGCATTAGGGATAAGCCATAAAATCACACCAGTTACAATATAGGTTAAAAATTTAGAAGCTGAGGGACTTCCCTGGTGGCCCAGTGGTTAAGATTCTGTGCTCCCAATGCAGGGGGCACGGGTTAGATCCCTGGGTGGGGAACTAAGATCCCGCATGCTGCATGGCACAGCCACAGAAATAAAACTGCTACGCTCTATACGCTAAAAAATATTTTTAAAAAAAAAGAAAAGAAAAATAATAGAAGCTGAACCATATCTGGCTGATAGAAGTAATTTGGGGGAATCCCCTGGTGGTCCAGTGATTAAGACTTGGCACTTTCACTGCTAGGTATAATGTTGCTGAAGATGCAAAGTCAAAACTGACCACTAAAAGTGCTATAATCATATCAAGATGATCAGTTTAAGTTTGAGGCAGAAGTAATCTGGGCCCTTATTTTCCTGGAAAATGGACAGAACAAAGAGAAAATACAAAAGCATATGCACGTGTGTCAGTCTATACCAAATAGTCTAGATAATGGTGAATGTTTCAAAGTGTTTACTTTCTTCTAATAGTGATAATTTTTACGATAATAAATATATTGGTTATCAATATGTGTCAATATGTATGCACGTGCACATATATATAATTGAAACCACTGTATGGTAGGTGTTTTTAAATGCCTAAAATAAGACGATTTATAGATAACCAACAAAGGATCCACTGTAGAGCACAGGTAACTGTACTCAATATTCTGTAATAACCAAAATTGGAAAAGAATTTGAAAAAGAATAGACACATGTGTACGTATAACTGAAGCACTTTGCTGTACACCTAAAATTAACACAACATTGTAAATCAACTATACCCCAATATAAAATAAAAATTTTTTTAAAAAAGAAATTAACAGCGAGACATTTTAAAGATATTTTTTAAAATATTTTAAAATGACAATATAGCATTGTCTGTTAAAATAATATCAATATATTTGCATAAAAACATGTTTTTAGAATAAAGTTGATTAGAAGAATGAAAAAAAATAATGCTTCTGAGTCAAAGTCCCAAGTTCCATGTAAATTGCCTGTGTCAGAAAATGTTATTTAATAAAACAATAAAATTAAAACTAAACGCAAAAAGAAAAAACTAATCCCCCCATACTTTGAAATACCTTTGCTGGGTCACAAGGCCGCCGATTGATGAAGAAAAACTGTCTGTCCGTTGAACTTCTTCCCGCGCCGTGAGCACAGTGAGAAATAAAACCTGAGATACTGTTCAATGTTAATGGCATTAGGGCAGGATTCCAGAGCAGAAAGGATGAGACACACACCAAACGGCACATTCTCAAAGTGAAAAATAAAAACATAACCCCTGGTGATGAGCTGACAAGTATTAACATTTCGGGTAACGTGTATCTGTGCTCCGTTCTGGTGAATCATTAAGGAACGCAGACCCTCTGGAATGTTCCAAAGCTCCCATCACTGACAAATCCTCCATGGGCAACCCAGCGGGTTCAAAACTGATTCGTTTCAGCTCTCACTTTCCCTATTAAATCCCTGGCCTCCACACAAGGAGTGGGTCTCACCCCACACTCACATTCTAGAACCTTCGTGCAGTCCCCACCAAGCTGTCCAGGGAGCCCACGGACCTGTGTCCAGGCTCTTTGCCCACATTCCCCACCTTTTCAAAATCTGTTCTCTTGGGATTTCCCTGGAGGTCCAGTGGCTAAGACTCCGCACTTCCAGTGCAGGAGGCGCAGGTTCAATCCCTAGTCGGGAAACTAAGAACCGTATGGTGTGGCCAAAAAAATAAATATAAAACATAAAATCTGTTCTCAGTTAGCAAACTTCTATCTCCTATGGCGTTGGTTAAGGGCTTCACCTGAGATTTACCCCAGGGATATTTGAGTTTCCATAAGAATGATACCTTAGCATAAAAAATGAATCCCCGGGCTTCCCTGGTGGCGCAGTGGTTGAGAGTCCGCCTGCTGATGGAGGGGACGCGGGTTCGTGCCCCGGTCCGGTCCGGGAAGATCCCACATGCCGCGGAGCGGCTGGGCCCGTGAGCCATGGCCGCTGAGCCTGCGCGTCCGGAGCCTGTGCTCCGCACGGGAGAGGCCACAACAGTGAGAAGCCCGCGTACCGCAAAAAAAAAAAAAAAGAATCCCCATCTTTAATTTCAGGGATAAGCCAAAGGCAAGTGGAGGGAGGGTAAGCAATATGGGCCCAATTCTGCTTATGGAAAAATGTCTATTTTTCTTCCACTAAAAGTAATGATGCTGGATTGGATTCTGGGTAAGGCATGAGTTAAAGGAAAAGCGCCTCTATCCCTCTATGCCAGGCCCTGACAAAGTGAAACATTATACATAATTTAAGAGTTATTCTAATTGTTCACTAAACAGAGCCTCTTCTACAAACACTAATTTAATAAGAAACCCCCTAAAATGCACCAGTTACCCAGAATATTGCTTACATTAAGAACCTGACTCCTCCATATAAATCCTCTTTATCAGCAATAATACTGCCTACAGTTTATAATGGACATAAGAAACTATAAGCTTTAAAATCACAATCTTTAAAAACAAAACCGAAGAAAAAAAAAAAAAAACTCAAAAAAATTGTTTGATCGTAATTTTCCTGGCACCAATTAACTTACCAAAACAGGTTATGCAGAGCCTGGGAAGAGCTCAGCCCGTATTCTTCACGGACAGTGTCACTAGGGGGCAGCTGCACAAAAGGGATGAGGCTTTGCAACTGAAAGAAATCAAGGTTTACAGTTATTTCCTAATAAAGCAAGAACCGGCCTGACTTCAGAAAGGAAGATATAACGAAGGTTTTGTGTGTTTTGCTTCCTAGCCAAGCTATCCACATTGAGAGGACAAAGAATCTCAATAGCTGCATTTTGCAGTTCTATAATAAATATTTTTGATTTATTAGCAAGATGAAACACTTGTGCTCCTACTTATCCATAAACAATACATTGGCCACAATATTTTTTTTTCAAGGAGAGAGTAAAAGAATTATTTTAAAACTTGCAGCTCCTAACATTAATTTTTGTGATAGGGACGTAGTTTTAAAAAAAATCAATTCTTAGAATTTATTCTTTATGCTATCGGAAAGGACCGTAGAAACCTGCCATAATCACTGGAGCAATAAAGTGTTTTTAAACAACTGGCCACCCAGTTTTTTGTTTTAGAATGATTATTTTCATTGCATGGTGGTGGATGGATAAGAGTGAGCTTCGGTCTAGAGGCTAGGAGATCAGTGAAAAGACTGCCGGAGAGCTCCAGGTGAGAGATTTGAGCACCTGAATCAAGAAAAAAAACCAAAAAAACAGGCCACCACTACCTGTTTCTGCCCAAATACAGATCCGATATTTTCCTTCATGCTGGAGCCTCCACTGGTACACACCACAGGCTGCCTCTTACCCTGTCCAACCTGATTGGTGCAACTTACACGGACACCCGCTGAAATGATACAGTAGGCGTGTAAGACCTGGACCATTTTGGAGAACTCCTGTTTAAAGAACACAAACGCAAGGACTCAATGTTACTTCAATCTTACAAGAAGCGCATGATTCAAGTTATACAGTCAATTCAGGGTTCTCATATCATCTCACAAATAAGGCAAATTATTCCTGACAGAATGATCCGTGAGTTGAATCTCCCTACGTGGTATCAAAGGGAAATCAGAGGAGAAGGTTCTTGACCACACTTCCCTCATTTCCAAAGTGTCCAGGCCTTCTGCTCTAAAAATCGAGACGTATGTTCCCTTTGACCTTGAAATCCCTCCTCTGGAAATTTATCCTTGTAGAAAGACTCGCATAAACAATCAAAGATCTATCATGAAAGGGCTTCCCTGGTGGCACAGTCGTTAAGAATCCGCCTGCCAATACAGGGCACACCGGTTTGAGACGTGGTCCAGGAAGATCCCACATGCCACAGAGCAACTAACCCCGTGTGCCACAACTACTGAGCCTGTGCTCTAGAGCCCGTGAGCCACAACTACTGAGCACGCGTGCCTAGAGCCCGTGTGCCTAGAGCCTGAGCTCTGCAACAAGAGAAGCCACCGCAGTAGGAAGCCCGCACACTGCAACGAAGAGTCGTAGCCCCTGCTCACCACAACTAGAGAAAAGCCTGCACGCAGCAACGAAGACCCAACATAGCCAAGCATAAAAATAATAAATTAAAAAAAATTTTTTTAAAGATATATTATGAAAATGTTCATTGAAACAATCTGTAATTGTGAAAAATTGTAAACAACCTAAGCAACCATCAACCAGGGACTAATTAATTACAGTATATCCACATAATGGTGCCATGATAAAAAATAAGGTAGTTACCAATCGACCAAAAAAAGGTATCTACAAAATACTATATTAAAAAGTCAAGGTATAGAACAGTATATATAATATGATCCCAATTGTTTAAAAAAAAATAGAAACATATGCATAAAGATTGTACATACATGTATGCATTTAAAGTCTAAGGGATATAGGGACTTCCCTGGGGGTCCAGTGGTTAAGACTCCGCACTCCCAATGCAGGGGGCCCGGGTTCGATCCCAGGTCAGGGAACTAGATCCCACATGCATGCCGCAACTAAGAGTTTGTATGCTGCAACTAAAGACCCTGCACACCGCAACTAAAGATCCCGTACGCTGCAACAAAGACCCAGAGCAGCCAAATAAATAAATAATAAATAAATAATAAAAATTAAACAATTAAAAAATAAAGTCTAAGGTATATAAACCAAACTCTGGGAGATAGGCAGAGACAATACCAACTTTCTACTGCACACAATTCCATGTGACTTAAATGTTTAATATTCTATGTCACTTGATTTCATTTTTTAAATATTTATCTTGAAAAATTTTCCAAGATTTATAAATACATGAAACTAAAAGGAGTCTGGAAAGACACACCAAACTGTTAACAATGGTCATCTCTGGCAAGCACAAGTTCTTTATGCCTATATTTCCTGAGACACCAATTTTTTTTACCATAAGATACAAAATAATAATAATTTTCTCTGTACAAAAAATTTTTAATATTTAAATTAAAAAACATTTTTAAAGTTTCCTGTATTTTTCCAAAATTAATAAAGTTATAACTAGCACAAATTGCTTTAAAGGTAAAGGAAGTTTTTAGCAGCATATGTTTAAGTAACGTTTTTGATTATAAAGAATATAGGTACAAAACAGAAAGGTAGAAGGAAGATGGCAAAAAAGCATAAGTAATCGCACAGCCAAGAATAACCACTGGTAGCATTCATGCGTCTACTCTCCCAGGCTTTTTTCTATGCATATTTTGGCCAGTTGCTTTGTTTTTACAAAACTATAATCATACACACACACACACACACACACACACACACGTATGATTATATGTGTATATCTATATATATATGATTACGTATATACACATGCACGTATACACATATATAGACAACTTATAACTGCTTTTTAAACACAATTATATAATATTTATCTTTTTCATTTTCATTCCAATTCATAAAACTTGTAATGATTCACTTCTCAGGGAGCCAAGAAAAATGACCTTATTAAAAATAAAGATAGAATCAAAAAATAATGCTTGTCTTAAAAGACTCATTTCCCATATTAGAAGACCTCATAAACACAATTTGATGATTCTTTTCAAGAAAAGAAAAGAGCGGCTTCCCTGGTGGTGCAGTGGTTAACAATCCACCTGCCAATGGAGGGGACACAGGTTCGAGCCCTGGTCCGGGAAGATCCCACATGCCATGCAGCAACTAAGCCCGGGCACCACAACTACTGAGCCTGTGCTCTAGAGCCAGTGTGCCACAACTACTGAAGCCCTCACACCTAGAGACCGTGCTCTGCAACAAGAGAAACTACTGCAATGAGAAGTCCACTCACTGCAATGAAGAGTAGCCCCCGCTCGCCGCAACTAAAGAAAGCCCATGTGCAGCAACAAAGACGCAACGCAGCCAAAAAAATAAATAGATAGATAAATAAAATAAACAGATTTATTAAAAAAAAGAAAAGGGTTAAATCAACCAAAAGTTAGGTCTTTGAGGGGAAGAAGCAAGCTAAGCACTTCTCCAAAAATCAAGGGAAGAGAATGAACGCGAGTGCAAACCACCCTGAGCGATCTTGGACTACATTTGGGCATCACACTCTCTAGGCTCTTGGATTCTGAATTTACCGTACCTTTCTTTTTTTAATTAATTAATTTACTTATTAATTTATCTACTTTTTGTCTGCACTGGGTCTTTGTTGCTGCGCGCAGGCTTTCTCTAGTTGCAGCGAGCAGGGGCTACTCTTTGTTGCGGTGTGTGGGCTTCTCATTGCAGTGGCTTCTCTTGTTGCAGAGCATGGGCTCTAGGTGTGTGGGCTTCAGTAGTTGTGGCACGTGGGCTCAGTAGTTGTGGCTCGTGGGCTCTAGAGCACAGGCTAGTAGTTGTGGTGCATGGGCTTAGTTGCTCCGCAGCATGTGGGATCTTCCCGGACCAGGGCTCGAACCCCTCTGCCCTGCATTGGCAGGCGAACTCTCAACCACTGCACTACCAGGGAAGCCCTCTACCGTACCTTTTTAATATTCCTTTGAAACTCCTTATGGCGCACAGGTAGCGTATAAAATAACTGCTGCACGCTGACTGTCGTCCCTCTGGGTCGTGGGTAGGGGGTTTTCTGGAGGATTTTTCCATTGTGATCAAACACCAGTCGAGTCCCAACCTTCGCAGATGTGTGGCAGGTAGAAATAGTTACATCACTGTATGAAAAAGCCAGCAGAGCACAGTCAGCTAGAGACTCCCAGGTGCTGGTCATCACGTGCTCATTTTCTCACTTCTGTTCTCTCTAAACTCCTGGGTGACGATCCCTCCGAGATCATCAAGAGAGTTTAAATGGGTTTAAATGGGTGAGGAGTCATCATAAAATCCAAGGTTTGGCCCAATAGATAGTGAGAGAGTTCTGTAAATGTTTTGTTTTGATAAAAGCTTTGATACTTATTTTGGTTAAACTGCAAAATAAAAGATCTCAAAACTTACGTATTCACCAATAAAGATGTATTTCTCAGTTTGGCTCTAACAAAATCTTAGAAGCTGTGGTGTAATTAAATAAGTGCTTCAGCTAAATTTCTTCCTCAACATCAAAATAAATTAAAACCAAGAGCATATGGCATCTATAATGTATTATTTATACCTTACTTTTAAATTGAGAAGTTACTGCCTTAATAAGGGTGACAACTTTTTTACAATACTATTTGCTTCATTTCGTCCTTACATTTCAGAAGTATTACCGCTTAGGTTGGTAGTAAGATAAAACAGAATGCAGAAGTTAGTGGCTGAGACATTCAGATGGAAAAGTGTAAACAATAATGATTCTAATCATACTTCTTAATTTTCAGAGAGATTTTTATAAGGGGTCAAGTTAGTGGATAAAATTATTGCATCACCTCAGTGCACAGAGTGAGCTCAGAGCTTCCCCCCGAAAGCCAAAAGTTTCCACCTGAGTGAGGTCAGCAAACTCCTGAATCTTAGAAGTGTGATGCTTCAGAGCTGAAAGAGAGGTGGAGAGTTAAGGCCGAAGAGATCGCAAGTGATACAGCAATGATCACACACAATACCCACCCAAGTGACTGGTTTTAGAAAGCTGTTTTGTGTTTCCTAAGACAGTGTTACCCCAAATTCTCAGACATCTGGCCCAAATATTTTAAAATAGGATTTTAGCAAAATTCAACTTACTTAAGCCTTCGAAGTTGTCTTCTTCTACCCCGCATCCATTGTCTGAGACTTCAATGAGCTCCGCCCCATAGTCTTTAAGCCTGAGCTCTAGAAAGTTTAAAACCGTTGATTTCTCAAAACTGATCCATGCGAAAAGGCGAGTGACAGTATTCATAACTTACAAAATGCAACTTTGAGTCCTAACTATATTTATTTAAATGTACTACTGTCATTTTGTATATTTTATTTTTTAAAGGCCTTCTTGGCTATTTACTAGCCCAGATAAAATAGTTTTGTTTTTATTTTCTTTCTTTTTTCTTTCCTTCAAGAGGATAGTTTTAACACAGTCATTAAAGAGAACAAGTTCTGGAATCAGACTCCCTAGGATCATATTTTACCAGCTTTATAACCTCAAAAAAAAAGTAAATTCCTTGTGCCTTAATTTCCTCATTTGTAAAACGGAGATAATAATTATAACAATAATAATAATTCCAATCTCATATAGTTATTCTACAGATTAAATGAGGTAGCCCATCTGTATATTTCTTAGCACAATGCCTGCCTGGCACATAGTAAGAACACAATAAAAGTTAACCGCTATTATTATTATTACTACCTAGCTAAATACTAGGCACACAGTAAGTGCTAAATTTATGTTTAAAAAATAATAATTTCTCTGTATATCAATACCTGATTGCCTTATTACAGTAACAAACATTTCTTGAATAAAACAGCATAAACTGATTATTTCTTGTGGTTTAAAACTCTCCCAAACTTACCAATGTTAGTGGCACTGGCATCCACACTATTTTCTACCAACTCCTTCACAGCAGTGCTTAGACTAAGAACCACTTGCCCAGAACAAATCTGATGGACTGACTTCCGATCGATAGGTTTGATGGCCTTAGCAAGTTCTGAACTAAAGAAACAGGTTACAAGACAGCAAGGTGGTAATTATGCATTTTCATCCTGGTTTTAACTGTGGGAAATGATTCATCTCCGTTAATAGTTAATGCGTCTAATCCATTCATTATATTAACATATCCATTTATTATATTCACAAATATAAATGTTGGTCTACAATCCTTAAACATCTGTCAAAAAGTCTTCTGAATAGATACTTCAAATGAAACAGACATTTAAAATCTAATTAAACTGGGATCTACATGGAGGAGACACATCCCCCTAAAGCTATGGGTGAATAATCTTTTGCAACGATAGGATCTTCTTTCTTGAAAATTGAAAGCAATGTTTCCCACACAATCTGAAAAGCCAAAATTTTGCTGGGAAATCCAGTGTTCATGTCAAAATCAAAACCATCTCAGAAACTGGGTACCAGTTGGGTAACTATTCCTATGATTGCCTACAAATCCCCACTCCAAACCCAGGCTGCCAGCTCCTGCCTTAGCAGAGGCCCTCACAGTTCTGGCTGTACCTACCTTCAGAATCTTCCAACTGGTATGTCTCCATTTTCTCTCTACTTCAATTAATCTTCCATGCTACCACCAGAGTTACTTTAGAAATCACAAATCTGGTCAAATAATTTTTCTGCTTTAAGAACTTACTAGCAGACTTCCCTTGTGGTGTGGTGGTTAAGAATCCACCTGTCAATGCAGGAGACACGGGTTCGAGCCCTGGTCCAGGAAGATCCCACATGCTGCGCAGCAACTAAGCCCATGCGCCACAACTACTAAGCCTGCGCTCTAGAGCCCACGAGCCACAACTACTGAGCCCACATGCTCCAACTACTGAAGCCAACACGCCTAGAGCCCCTGCTCCGCAACAAGAAAAGCCATGAGAAGCCCGCATATAGCAACAAAGACCCAACGCAGCCAAAAAAAAAATTATTTAAAAAAGAATAAAACTTACTAGCATCCCACTGTCTGCTATATTAAGTTTCAAATCTAGTCACAATTGGACCCCAATCTACCTTATTTTCTCTCTCTCTCCAATCCTCCCATTGCCAATTCCCCTACATTCTCGTCACAGCAAACAACTGTTTCCTGAATATCACAAGCTCTATTAGACACTGCATCTTGCCCATACAGGTGTGTAGCCTCCTACTCCTCTGCCTGGCAAACTACCTCTCGTCTACATGCTCACTAATTTAGCAATTTGTAGTAAACGTTTTATTGATAACTTGGCTGTAACTGAACACAGGAGCATCCCTGGGAGGGAAATCTTTGGCTATTTCCCACAACATATAACACATAATAGACGCTCGGTAAACCCTTGTTAAAAAAAAAAAAAAAAAAAAAAAAAACATCTTTACTCTTATTCAACCTTGCAAAGAATTCCACTCAAATTTGTCTCAAATGGAAAAACTGCAGATGACGCCACTTAAAATGGAATAAAGGGGCTTCCCTGGTGGCGCAGTGGTTTAGAGTCCGCC